AAATCCCACATTCCCATGGGAATTCTGTCTCCCTCACCTTTGCGCTCCAGCGCCTCCCGCCCGTATCTGACGAATTTCTGGAGCCATTCCAGACAGGTGTTCTCCAGGTAATTTCTCCAATAGTCCACCTCTATCCCATCATGTTCCCATTTCCTCTTGGTGATCTGGGCAGCTCCATCGGCCGCCACGAATCTCCTGGATCCCAGCTCGAAGGAGATGAAATCCCGCCCATCGTAGCCAATCTGGTTGTATCCACGGACGCTCCCGTCAGACAGGAGGTCACAGCCATAAAGCCGCTGCCTTGTGTGGAGACCTGGGGGGTGGGATTGGATCCATGGAGACCCCTGGAATTGTGTCCCAGCCCCACGGAGCCCCATTCTAGCTCTATGGAGCCCCTGAAGCGAGGCAAGGCCTAGAAAGCAAATATAATATAGCAATACGAAAAGTAGAGAGTTAAATTCAGAATATAGGCTTACGCAAAAGCACAAAGAATTTGGTCCTAGAAACAGCGGAGGCAATAATTTACTAAGGTATGCAGAACACACTGACACAGGAGAACAGAAGCATAGGTACTCAGGAAAACAGAAGGAACTAAGAGGCTAAAATAAGTATATAGAAGGAAAACAAAGACTGATAAAGAAAGAAGATGAGCCAAAATATAGGTAACCCTTGTCAAATATTAGGAACCTCTGCCAAATACACTAGGAAATCGGCCAGATTAGAGAAGTTCACAAAGTTTATGATGGTGATGAAGGAAAGGACAAGAGTTCATGAGGCCGAAGAACAGGAATGACCCCTCAAATTCTCCCCATATTGAAGACCACGCCCATAACTCCGCCTAAACTCCACCTGTTATGAATATTTAAAAAGTATGTTGCAATATTATGAATATTTATATTGTATGATGCAATTGCTTGGCAAAATTTGTATAAAAGGACCAGCTGTGAGTTGCTGGAACAGAGCAGTTGTCCAGAGAGATCTGGCTGCTCCCCAGTGCCATAATAAAGATACCTCCTGCTTATAGACTGAAAACTTTGTCTTTGAGCAGTTTCTC